CCTTGTTCCGCTCTGCCATCAACTAAATCAGGCGCAAGTCTGCAGATACTAGTGGGGTAAAAAAAATTATAACAGTAAATTAGGTAGGAAGCAGGTCAACGGGACAAATTTTCTGCTGCATTATACCTTCTGCAGTTGTTTCTGTCAGTGCAGAAGGCTGCTATTCAAGGTCTCAGTTTATCACTCTTCAGCAGCTTGCATGGGGTATGAGGCATTAGCTAATCAGAATGGTATGCTGAAAATTACAGCCCCGAGTGGAAAGGTAACTAAGAGTCTAAGTCATTTTACCAGTATCTGCAGGGGGGCAGGGAAGCAAGGAACATGCCTCAGTTCTTTCTGGGGAAAGAATTTCTAATCAAGTGGAAAGGAGCAGCAAACGTGGAGGGAATAGGCTGAGCTGATTAACCCAGGCTAAGAGGCTTCCCTGACTAGTTCTGCTGGGTGTTTTTCTGACCCTGCCTGTCACCTCCTTGCTTCAGAAGGCCATTCAGACTTCCTATCGCTTTTCTTCCATAGTGCTGCCTGGCCTCTGCCCTGCTCACAGGCCACTGCAGCCGCCTCCTCTTCAACTCCTACCTCTGTTGCAGTCACCTCTTCTTCCTGCCTTACTGACATGACCCTCTCTGAGGTACACAGCTCTCTTCTGCTGTGACTTCTTCAGTTTTCCCGTATTCCAACGGAACTAAACCCTGCAACATCAAGCACACCGCAAAGCAATAGCGTTACTGCTGTAGGCTCCCGGCCTCACAGAAATGCTGAAAATGCACACAAGATACATGCACATAACAGTTACCAGGCAAGCACACGGGTCGATCATCAGGAGGTAGCAACCACAGTAGGCAGGCTAGTGTCAGGACTTCCACTTACCTGCTTTCACTTCACCTAAGGGTGCCTTTGCACATATACACAGTAAATGTTTCTGGAGGTGGAGAGAGGCAGGCCAGCAGCTTAACTTCCCCACTTACCCTTGGGAGATGTGCCTTCTCCAAAGCGGGACAGCACAACACACGAGGCACTTGTCCTGCTAGAACTCTGCCCACACCCACGCCTGTTGGAGCACTGTCAAGTCTCCCCACCCAGCGATGCTAAACTGAGATGCAAATCAGCAAGCAGACACCACCATGGGCAGAGGGCGGCCTGATTGTGGACTTAATGGCCTCACCTGAACAGGGCTGACCAACCTACCACTAGCAGCTTGCTGGTCCCCACCCGAGTACAGAGCATCCTCGGGGAGGATAAAAACCCACTAGGGATTGAAGAAAGTGGAAGATGTGGGTTTACTGCTTTGGCTAGCTCTGCGTGGGTCCCGGCCTGCTGCACCCACCCACACGCTGCCCTCCAGCAGCCCGAGAGGGGACGGCTGCCCCACGCACCCCGTGGCGAGGTGGCCCTGTCCGGGCCGGGCCTCGCCGCCCCCTCACCTGTGGGCCTGGCA